AAGAAAAGCACAAGATATTTTTAGGCGAACAGACACACTTACAGAGCAGAACTTTAAGGGAAACAAATCAGACACCCAGGCTTAGATGCTGTACTGCTCCTTTTGTGCAAGAAACCAAAGGAGAAAGATGGAGGATGGTGTTGGGAAGGAGGAATTAGTTACTCAACAGGAAGGGGGCAAGAGAGATGGCAGAGGGAAGGAAAGGAAGAAAAAGGGAATAAAAAAAAAAAAAGAAGGGGCTTCTGAGATGGCTCAGGGGTCTGAGCACCTGTCTGGTAAGCACAAGGAGCCAAGTCTGATCGACGGCAGCTGGGGCATGCCAAAACAGGTGTGGTAGCGCACGCCTGTAATCCCAGCGCTGGGCAGGCTGAGACAGCAGGACTGCTACACATCTGAGCTGCATAGCAAGACCCTGTACTGAAATGAGTAAACAAATAATTTTTAAAAATTTTTGAAGAAAGAGAATGTAAGGGAAAAAAATGGAAAACGTTTTTGTCAATGCAGGGGCAAGAAGGGCTGAAGGGAGGGCAGGGGAATGGGCAAAAAAGAACTCCGGGCTATTATGTACAGATACAAATTCACCACGGCAGGCATGATTGATATGTACAGAGAACGTATACTAATAAAAATAAATAAGGCCCGGCAAGATAGCTCAGTGGGCTAAGCGCAGCGACCAGGGTTCCATTCCCAGTACCGCAGGCCCGCCGGCCCCAGCCCCAGGCACGCTGAGCCCTGGACTGAGTCTGGGCATGGTGGCGCATGCCTGTAATCCCAGCCCTGGGGAGCTGAAAACAGGAGGACTGCTACAAATCCAAGCTGCATCGGGAGACCATGTACAACAAGAACAGCAACAGCAACCACAAAATAGATACATAAATATAAATAATCAATTAATCAGTCCTGAGAAGGGGGAGGTTTCTGACCACCTACTTGAGATGCTATAGTCACATGGTTCCTTATAGAGCGAGACAGGAGGGTCAGAGGAAGTGAGGGGGACGAGGCCACGGAACCAGAGCATGCAAGGGGGTGGGGAAGGGGTCTGCAGACACGACTTGTGGGCTCGGCAGCGGGAACCAGAGCCAGCGAGCCAGGAAATGAGGACAGCCTGGAGAAGGTGGCAAAGGCCGGGAAGCAGCATTCCCTCCGCGGCCTGTGGAAGGCCTGCTGCCGGCCTGAGCTTAGACCAGCGGCGATGCCGGCCTCGACCTGTTGCATTCCCCATCCAGGAGTTACGAACCTGTACTGCTGGGAGGGAGCAAGTCTGTGTCGCCTCGGGGCAGCAGGGACAGCAGACACCCATGCCGGGGCAGGGCAGGTCCTGCCCTGAACGGGTCATACGTAGCTTGAGGTGGTATTTGCATTCAGTGACCTGCAGCCCCGGCTGTGTGCGGACGTGGAGCACGGGCTTAGCGGTAAGCAGGCAGGCTCCCTCGGGTAGCTGCACCCTACGCAGGCCACGCGCAAGTCCCGTATACTGCCGGGAAGCAGAAGGAGCACAGGAAATCCCAAGAGCAAGGGCAGGCGGCCGCCCCTGAGCTGGGAGGCCAGCGCAGTCCGCTCTGCTGCTTCTCACCTTTGTAAATTCCGTTGCTTCCCCCGTGCATCTGTCCTTTGGGCGTCACCTCCTCTACGTGAGCTCCCTGGTCGGAGGTGAAGTAGACCAGGGTGTCGTTGGCCAGCCCCAGCTCATGCAGCACGTTCAGAACCTGCCCTGCAAGACAGAGAGGAAACGGGCAGGTCATTCCTCAAGGCAGGAAGACAAAACACTTATGCACCTGAAGTGTGGCGCACTTGGAAAAGCCCTGCTGTGTTACCGCCTTCTTTCCTTTAGTCTTTTTTTAATATATTTAGTACAGGGTCTACAGGGCCTCACTATACTCACAGTGATCCCCCAGTTCTCACCCTCCCAAGCGCTGGGATTACAGGACTGTGCCACCACGCCCAATCTCAGTCCCGTAGCAGCTAGCAACATCCTCGGGGGTGGGAGGAATGGCCGGAATCGAACCCGGCCCCTGCATCTGCCTAAGCAGGTGCTTTAATCCGCTGAGCTAAGTGTCAGGCCCTCTCTCCCTTAGTCTTGTGCACCAGTACAACATAACACTACCAGCAACAACACCCCCGACAAGTCCCACTGGCAATGGATTACCCTCTATGTTCCAACGGGTGCATTCTGATACGGTCACGGCCATACAAATGGTGCATTCTGATATGGTCACGGCCATACAAATGGCTGCTGTTCCCTTTGATACACAAAAGCAACAATGTCATAGAAGAAACGAGAAGAGACCTGCTCAAATTGAGACACACAGGAAGCAGGAGGTCCAGAAAGCAAGAATTAAGGTGGATTCTAAAATCCAGGCTTTGGATTTAGCGAGCCAAGACAAAGGAGCCATGATAAAAATACTCCAAAAGGACAGGCCAAATAGCCCAGTGGATTAAAGCACCTGCTTAGGCAGCCGCAGGGGCCGGGGGTTCGATCCCCCAGCCTGCCGCGCAGGCCCCGACCCTGGGGCACGCTGAGACAGCGATTGAGACTGGGCGTGGTGGCTGCACCTGTAATCCCAGCTCTTGGGAGGCTGTAAACGGGCGGATCACTACCGTGTGATCTACGCAGGGAGACAGCCAGGACACCCTGTCCTAAATACAACAAACAAAAGCACTCCAAAAAATCTTAAGGAAGAAAAACTACCCATTTCCCAGAAATCGATGGCCACACCCGTGGGTAGGATGCTGTGATTAAAAGTGATATGAAATACTGTCTTATTCAACTAACGTGGGGTGAGGCACTGAGTTAACTGCTAAATATGGGTGAAGAGTGAGGAATTATTAGAGTATTTCCCTTCTGTGTGCTCGCTATTATTTAGTTTTGATATTTTAATACAGGGTCACACTATACAAATCAGACTCCTAGTGGCCTCCTGTTTTTCAGCCTCCCAAGCACTGGGATTACAGTCACGCGCCACGGCGCCAAGCCTCCAGCACCCTCTCAGTGAACCCCAGGGGTGGGGCCTGGACGGAAGGCTGGGGACCCCCGGGTCTGCCTAAGCAGGCGCTTTAGCCCTTCCACGTACTCTGCAAACTCTCCCTAAGAAGCCAGGTATAGCAGTATCTGCCTATCCTCTCGGCAAATGGGAGGGTGAGGCAGGAAGATCCAACGCTCAAGGTCATCCTCAGCAACTCAGTGAGACGCTTGGCTCAAAAACAGTACTTTTGATGCCTGAGAAAAATAACAGACTTGATAGAAGCTACCACGGCCCTTTCAACAGAAGACAACGAGGGCCCCATTAGAGAGGACTGCTGCACAGTTTCCTGAGAGATCCACGGGGTTACGTGCTGCTTATCTGCAATTCTGTACGACAGCAAGACAGCACGTGCAGATGGACCTTCATTGGTACAGCACTTCCTGATTCCAGTGTTTATTTGCATAAATTGATGCTAATCGTCATGCATATTCATGAGGTATGATGCGTTGTTTTAAAACAGCTATGAAGGATGGTTTTACAAAAGCGAATATTTGGACTAGATTGGATTATTTTGCTGAATTCAGGCACCTACAATATTTGAAAGGCAATGGAATATCCATCTCTAACAAAACGAAACAAAAAAGGGGAATCTAAATGAAGGGCCATTTTGTAGTGGAAAAAAA